CCGGGTACCATTAGACCACATAGTCTTGGTAAATTATTTCTCTTATTTAATTTATTGATAATGAATAATATTTTTTTTTGAATAAAGGCAATAGACACATAATTCTAAATTAAAGAAATGCATATGTATTATTTTTTTTGTTGTAGCTACTAAATTATTATTTAATTTAATAAGAGTAAAATAGAGTACTAATTATGCCAACTTTGATTGGGCTGGGGTTCGAACCTAAGACCTTTCTTATTGAAAGCAATGAGTAAGTTAACGGTGAACTAACAGAAATTAACGAAAAAGATAATATTTAACAGAAAAGTTAACGGATAATCATATTCATTAGGAATGAATTAGGAAATCTCAAGGAAAAAATTAAAATCTGATAAATCTGATTCATTCATTTGATTAAAAAAATTTGACCGTTATTTTTTCTACTCATTATAGGCCTAACTCTCTTTAGCTCTTATTAGTATAGTAGATTTAGACAAATTTTTTAAAAAACTTTATTTATTGTATCAAAATAACTAATTAAAAAAAAAAAGAGTTTTATTGTTACATTAGATATTGAAATATTTTGGTGAGCTTTTTTCAACCATGTAGCTTTTATTTTTTTTAAAAAAATTCCATGTAGCTTTATTCTCATCTTTATCTTTATATCTTTATCTTTATCTTTATATTATTATATTAGATATTGAAAGATTTATTGGTAAAATTTTATATTTAATATAATTTGTGTATATATTCATTTAAATCTCAATTATAATTAATTTGACTCGACATATATAAAGAGGAGAAATTAGATATAAAATAAATATAATTCTTACCTAAATAATCTTTTTCAAATGAATAAGTTTTTAGTGGAGATTTTTGACAAATATCGCCTGCTATTTTATTTACAAGTTTTATTTAAATACGTTAGTTATATAAATAAAGTAGTTATTTCAAATTCAAATTCTTTTCAAAAAAAATTCAAATTCAAATAATAATACAAGTAACAATAAATTTTAAAATCAACATAATAGTATAATTAAATTTTTAAAAATATTAAATATTACATTGTATAGTTATACTTACATTTTTAATCAAACTATTCTGAACTCAAGAATTCAAGTACGTTTTTTTGTTTCCACAATCATTACTTTCTTTGCTAATTCAGAAGATGTCAAAAATTTAATTGATAAATTTATTAAATTAATAATAATTTGTGCATCGCACGGGACAATTACTAGTTTAACTAAATAGATTAATCTGTAATTGTATTTCATATAATATTATTTGAGGAGAATGATTGATTAAAGGAAATTTTTTATTTTTGGGGCGAGGGAATATGGAAAGATGCATGTGGTACCCAAATAAAACTTTGTATTTATTTGAGTAAAATTAATATTTTACTTGCCCACAATTTTATATTTTACTAACTGCACAATAACATGCACTGTATATCATGAACCACAAACCCCAGCTTTCCTCACATGCATTGCGTGATTTTTTTTTTCTTTTTTTACTCGAAATGATAAAATTCAGATTATTTGAAGAAATTTTATATTTTACGTACCATATATTTATGTACCTAAAGATATAAACAATGGAACTAAGACACATTTTGCATGAAATAATCAACACATTTATCAATTAAAATGCGTCTAAATAAGAGGTGAAACATAGACAATTATACACTTATCAAGTATAAAAGATAAAATTGAAATATTTGAAAGTAATAGCACAACAATATATCTAGGAAAAGGAAGGTGATTTTATTACTTACATCCACTTACCTCGTTTTCTTACGAAACAATAATGTTACATCACCAAATGTTATATAAAACAAAAATACATTCATATTGCCTTAATAATGTAATATATCTTGAACAAAAGTTTCATCAACAAAACATCCCTTACGACACTGCTGGAAATTATGGAATTTCCGACCACCTGAAAGTGATCTTTAATCAAGTTGAAAGCAAAAAGTGGTCGGAAATAGCAACAAAGATTTTTCCAGATACCAAAAGTGGTCGGAACAAGGCTTTCGACTTGATTTAAGATCACTTTCAGGTGGTTAGAAATTCCATAATTTCCAGCAGTGCGATTAAAAGAACCACTCCGGTATTATATATAAAGTAAAATGAATATGTAAATTATGCGTGACTGACTCTCCATGATCTGTGAGACAGGTCGGGTCTATACTAAAATGCAATACTTATAAGGGAAATCATAATACTAATAAGGATAAATTGATTGTTACTTATAAGGGGAAATATTATACTTTTGAAGAAAAAAGTAATATTTTAAAATCAAAATATAATATTTAAGGGTTAATGAGTTATGAGGAAAAATGAAATACTAATAAGAGATAAATTGATTGAAGGCTACATATGCATAATAATGTGATATTTTTGTTGATAAATGTAATACTTTTTTTATTAAAATTTAATATTAAGGATTGAAGAGTTACTAATTAGAAAAAAAAAAAAAGTGTAATACTTATAAGGAACCCGCCCTCATCCTTAAAACGGTCTCATAGGATATTCTGCTGTTAATTATACACTAACCACTCTCTATATCCATTAATAAGTAGATCATACCTCATTTCATCATATCCTTACTCTATTTTAACAATTAACATTTTTTTTTTGGGGGGGGGGGGGGGGGGGGGGGTGTCATATTATTTTTGCCACGGGAGAGTTCTTTTGACACTCCATTCCATTCTCATGTACTTTTAGCTTACCAAATACACCACTACATTCATTCTTTAATATTGATTTTTTATGAATAATTAATTTTTTTAATGAATAATTAATTTTGTTTTGGTACATGGAGGAGGTGGGTGGGAATTTAAACTTAATACTTTATTAGGAAGAGTCAAAGGGATACAACTTATAATTAAATTACACCTATGATCTTTTTATTTCTTTGATGAAAGTGAGTATATTCAATAAATAGTTTAGAAATATGTTGCTTTGTTCTTTTTCTTTTTTTTAGATATGAGAAAGTAATTTTAGTATGAATCATTGAGTTACCGTGATTTACGTCATCTCATATAATTATGTCGGGTCCCAGGTGTGGGATTTTTTGGGGTTGAAAAGTTAATTTTTGGGAAGAAAGTAATTTTAGTATTGTACAAATTTATATATAGATATAATTAATTTAATTTATGGGATGGAAATAAATAGAGAAATTGTTGGTGAGGAATGTAATGGTAGTTGTAACATCAAAACGGGTTAGCTAAACGTCCGCAGTCGACGCGTTTCTTAAGTATTTTTCCCTTTTACTTATTCCATTTGTTTTATTTAACACAATTCTGAAAACATTATTTTATAATATAATTTTCAGTATGGAGCAGTGGATCGGAATTTGATGGTATGTCGCTATGCCCATATACACCCTTGCGTCTTTCCACTGCTACACCACATATGAACGTCCACATACAACGTCGATTATTTTTATTCTTTATTATTATTATTATTATTATTAACGTTAAATACATCGAATTCATGATTAGGTTATGTTCCAATCATATGTTGCAAATGGACATTTGGGTGATTTTTGTGTGAGTTAAATCTTAAATAAATAAGAAATACTCCGCAATTGGTTAATTGATTCAATTTAATATAAGTTACTAGTTACCACACGTGCATTGCGCGAATAGTCTGATGTACAATGTGTATTTTTAAATTAGTAGTGTTTTAGGATTATCAAAGTATCGATCATTCGGTATCATGGTGTATATAAATGCAAGATTATCAATTTTTTTTCATAAAAGTAAATATTTTAAGAATGCATAACTATGACATGGGGCATAAATAATGTTGGATTAACTAGTGCAATAGCAATTTTAGAAAGAAACACTCTCACCGTAGAGTACCCTAAGCATAATTTTTGCAACACAAAACCCTATTAATTGGTGTGATTGATCCGTGCTTCCTTTGGTTGTCATTCCGCTATAAATGAATTATTGATTTGATATAGTCCCCGGTATGCTTCACTACAGTTTTAGTATCTTGGCGTAATACACCTTTAAAAACATAATCAATTCCTCCTTCTCCGAAAAGACAATGATAATATACATAGATTCTTATCTGTGTTGAATATATACTGTAAATTAGGTGTACCATTTAATCAGTACGCAATGTGTGATTCTAATTAATTTACCAAAGCTTATGTTTAATTTTATATTGTAATTTTTAATACACTCTAACATATTCATAGTATATGTTTAACAATTATGTAGTAAGTTAAGAATAATAAATACTTAGCAGAATATTCAGTTACTAATAAAGTTTACATTGACGGACTACACGAGCATTTAGGAAAAGTAAATGTTATAATAAATGGGAAAATAGCAAAAAATAATTAAAAGAATACTAAAATAAAACAATATGAATCATTCATTTCAATAAACAATTACACCAACATTTTTTTAATTTTTGTTTGGTGCATAACTTTATTGGCTCTTATTAAGTTTGTAGATGTAGATATTGAAAAACTAACAATATAATTGGGTTAAAATATGCATTTTTTTGGATCTGCATTGTAATTTTAATAGTTTATTTTAAAAAATTATAAAAAACTAAGATCCACATATTTCTAAAATAAGTATAGTGAACTAGTGATGTATAATATTTAAAATAAAAAATGTTGAATGAATTAAAATTTAATATATCCAAATTGCATCATAATATGTGAAGTGAATAATTTGGACTTTGGACAAGTCTAGTAATGATTAGCGGATAAATGCATTGACAAATGAATTGTTTAGATTACCACCTACAATGTCTTCAATAGTTGGTTTTCAATAGTGGCGGAATATGTGAAGTATAAATCTCGTATTAAAAGGTAAAATTTTGATTCTTACTAATGCTTTTCAAATTTTACCAACACTATCTATATTAAATTCGTCGCATATGATATTTCTAATGCGATTTATCTGGCCGAAATATGGTAAACAAGTACAGGAGACAAGCATATAAGTGATTGTGCAAATTTAAGAGCCCATAGGCACGTGATGGGCATGCCTATATAAGAAGTGAGAGAGAGAGAGAGAGAGAGGAATAGGAAACTAACAGGCATGGAGGGGAGAACAAAATGCACCATTTTCACTCTCCAATGGCTTTCCGCAGTTTCTATTTTTGCCCTTCTACCCTTTTCCCACTCTCTAGACTACAAAGACGCTCTCTCCAAAAGCTTCCTCTACTTCGAGGCGCAGCGCTCCGGCCGGTTGCCGTACAACCAGAGAGCCACCTGGCGCCACCATTCCGGCCTCACCGACGGCCTTGAACAAGGGGTTAGTTTCTCATATTCATATTCAAAATATCTTTTTCCGTTTTCCGTTTTCGGTTCGGTTTAGTTTGATGATGAGGATTTAATGATAGGTGGACTTGGTCGGAGGTTACTACGACGCCGGCGACAACGTGAAGTTTGGGCTTCCAATGGCGTTTACTATTACCTTGTTGTCGTGGGCCATGCTCGAATACGGCGAAGAAATTGCCAGCGCCGGCGAGTACCGCCACGCTCTGGAGGCGATCAAGTGGGGGACTGATTTCTTCATCAAAGCTCATACTCATCCTCATGTCCTCTGGATTCAGGTAATTTTTTACATTAAATCTTACATAAAATTTGTTAAATTAAAGAATAGTTTCACTCTCGTAAACGTAGACAAAACATGTCAGTAAGAAGCTGATTTGATGTTTTGAATGAATTACGGTTAGCCGCCTTAGCCACCCTACCGCGTCAATTACGCAAAACACAAGTTTCACGCACCTCTTTGATCTTTCGTTGGATTGTCAATTTTCGTCTCGATCGGTTAACGTTTTACTAGGTCAAAAGCTCAAACAAACTGACAAGACTTGTTGGAACTAATATTGGCAAGTCAACTGATGATTAATGTTGATGGTCAATTTAGGTAGGTGACGGCGACACGGATCACTACTGTTGGCAGCGGCCGGAAGACATGGCGACGTCGCGGCGAGCCTACAAAATCGACGAGAGCCACCCCGGCTCCGACGTGGCGGCCGAGACCGCCGCGGCAATGGCGGCAGCGTCGATCGTGTTCCGAGAAACAAACCCGCATTACGCGCACCTTCTCCTCGACCATGCACAGCAGGTTTGGTACTACATGTGTATGTTTATAGTTAATGAAGCTGTCGCGTTTTGGTTGTTTGAATAGGAACATCATATGCCTAATTTCCTACCCAAAAATACAATAACTCAATATCCCTTTCAATAGCTGATTTGAGCTGATTAACTATGAACATACATCATTGTGGTCATTTGTCAGCTACAATTATAAGACCGGATTTATCTGGTGCACACTTTATGTATAGTAATTGCGAGAATCCATTGTTACTAAAAAAACAATAATAATTGAGCAAAAGCTAGGGATTATATGATTTTTGATTATTGTTTTGATGATTGAATTTTGGATGTTAAATTTGTGGGGTTGGTTGGTTTGCAGTTGTTCGAGTTTGGGGACAAGTTTAGAGGGAAATATGATGAGAGCGTAGGAGCGGCGAAAGGGTACTACCCTTCGTTGAGTGGTTACAAAGATGAGTTGTTGTGGGGAGCTTTGTGGCTATACAAAGCCACCGACAATGAATATTATTTGAATTATGCCATGGAAAATGCACAATCTTTTGGAGGGATCACTTGGGCCATGACCGAGTTCAGCTGGGACGTTAAGCACGCTGGCCTTCAATTACTCGCCGCCACCGTAATTCACCCTAACATTTACCCTCATTTTCATTTTTAGTATCATCACTGTTTGATCATTTTCACATTTAATTTTTGTACAAATTAATGACTGTTTTGGTCCCTCGTCTATGCTGTAATTACTAAATTAGTTCTTAATAATCAATTTTGACCAAATAAGTCCTCAACTATTGATTTCATAATCAATTTGGTCCTTCATAATTACCAAATTGGTCTTCGACCAGTTTGACGGAGGACCAAATCGGTTACAAAATCATATATAGTTGAGGATTTAATTGGTCAAAATTAATAATTGATGATCAATTTAGTAATTATGACATAATTGATGAACCAAAACAGTCATTAATTCTTTTTTTTTTTTTTTTTTTTTTAACATTTAGTTCATGACCCTTAAATTCTTGCCACGCTTAATCCTTCTAACATAATTTTCAGTAACAAGAAATCAAATTTTAGGCAAGTAACATATGTTAAAGGGTAAAATTGTCATTTTCATTACTTTTTTTTTCTTAAACTTATTAGAGAATGTAGCTATAAATGACAATTTTACCCTTTAATATAAGTCAATTGCTTGAAAATTCTGATGATCGGAATTTAGGTTGGAGGGACCAAACGTTACAAGAATTTAAAAGTTGTGAGATTAAATGTGAAAATGATCTCATAGTTGTTCGACCAGGAGTGGGAAAAACTCTATCACCTTATATTTCTAGACCTAAACTATATGATTTTGTTTGTTTTAACAGTTGCCTATAAAGGGGAAGATGTATGAAAAACACAGTGAAATCCTAAAGGAATACCGGGCCAAAGCGGAGCACTACCTATGCGCCAATCTGAACCAGAACAACGCCACCAACGTCCGCCGCACGCCGGGCGGGCTGCTCTTCATCCGCCGCTGGAACAACCTCCAGTACGTGTCCTCCGCCGCCTTCCTTATGACCATCTACTCCGACCACCTCAGGTCCGCCGGCGACGTGCTCCGCTGCGAGCGGAGGCCGGTGGGGCCCGACGAGCTCTTCGCCTTCGCCAAATCCCAGGTCGATTACATTCTCGGGCTGAACCCGACTGGCCGGAGCTACCTGGTCGGGTTCGGGCCCAAGTACCCGCTCCGGGTGCACCATAGGGCCGCATCCATTGTATCGTACAGACGCGAAAAGAGCTTCATCGGGTGCATGCAAGGATACTATACGTATTTCGGGCGTAGAGACCCGGACCCGAATGTGATTATCGGGGCGGTGGTGGGCGGCCCGGATGCGAACGACCAGTTCGAGGATAGAAGGGGAAATTACATGCAGTCGGAGGCATGTACTTATAATACAGCGAGTCTTGTCGGAGTTTTTGCCAGGTTGTATTATATACAAGAAAATGGTATTTCTAGAAGGGATTTTTCGTTAGTTTCTTCTGGCTAGAGAAATAGTTTTAAAAAAAAAAAAAAATTATTTTGGAGTATTTTTTCCACGGTTATTGTCACACTCACACGTAAAGGGGTATTCACCCATTATTTGTAACTCCATCCATGATATAAGGGAGGAAGAAACTAATACACAAGTAAATTGTGAAGGGAAATTTTAATATCCAAATTTTGTATGTGATTGACGTAATAATTATATATAGTTCATCTCTCTTCTTTTCTCAGTTGATGTTTATTCACTTTTTGTTTGCGTCTTGTTTAATTTTTTATTTTTTTTATTTATATATGAGTTTAAGAAATGGGTTTTGAGTTTGGATCATCTAGATAAATTAGATTTGACATAAATAAATAAACAAGCTAAGCATGAACTGAATATGAATTAAGAAGGAAGGATAAAGAAAGAATATCAATGAATGCTAGACATTTTCTCCTTGACTAAATTAAACAATAAGCTTAGCTTTTTGTACATAAAATGACTGAAAATTGAATAACCTTCTCGATCTCCACTGTTTTAGTGTTTTATGCTCTTGCTAAGAGGAGATCAATGAACAAGAAGCTAAACAAAGGAAAGGAAAAGAAACAAGCAAACCTCTTGGCGCCAAGCAGACAATCACTATTCGCTCTGTATCTTCCACTCCTCCATTTGGAGAAGTCCAAATAGAAGTTCTCCAAAAATATATACATAAAGTTGGAAAATGGAGAAAAGTTAGGTAATCGGAGATCAGAGATAATTTTAGTAAACAAGTTTCTATTTTCCATTCTACTTCTCCAATTTTATGTTTTTCTAAAAAATTATCCATTTTGGTAAACAACCCCTTTATTTCTAATTAACAAAATATATCTAATTTCTTAAACATATTTAGTACTTCAACATATTAGAAATTAGATAATAATTAAGTAATAAATATGTTTAAGAAATTAGATTTATTTTGTTAATTAGAATTTATAAATAAAGAGTTTCTTAATAAAATACAAGTTTTAAATATTTTGCAAAAAAAAATCTAGTCAATATTAATTTTTTTAATGTTGTGTGGCATTTTCTCCATAGCATCTATACATACGCATCAAATATTAGTCCATTTTTAATTTGGTGGTTAAGTTACACAACAAATGATTCATGAACAATACTATATAGTCCTACCAAAGTTATTCAACTTTAGTCACTCGACAATGTTTAATAAATTGAGATCTCAAGTAAAAATAAAATAAAATAAAATAACAAAATTTGTGTGATTTTTGCAGGGTGCAAAGTATTTTTCTCATGAATTATATGACAACTTTTCCCTTAAAAAATGATAAACAAATAAACATGCACAGCTAGGAATTGACACTTGTATCCCTCCTAAATTACCCCCTCAGTGCCCCTCGGAGAAACGACGTCGCTCCTCATTCTATTGCTACTCCACCTTCACTCCTTCAGTCCTCCACAATACCTAGTTCGAATTCCTCCATCTTCTCCTAGTCCAAACCCGTCTTCTTGAGCATTACTGAAATTCGATAAAAGTCCTGCGAACTTGAGGTGCGCTATTATCGATTATCATTTTTTTTTTCTTAAATTTCCCAAGAATTAGAGACTATTTTCATGGAATTCACTTGATATATTGAAAATCGCATTCTCGAGAATGAAAGGTTATTGTAAAATATTAAATTGTCACTGGAATTACCCTAGAATTGAAAGATCCATGTAAAACAGTAAATTATTAGTCGTGAAATTATCTTCGGAATGAAAAGATTATAGCTTTCTTCACTCCTAAACTAGACTTATGGAATGCAGAGCATATAAGTATCAAAACGTTGATTACTGGCTTTGAGCAAAGCTCAGGCTTCATACTCAAAGAAAGGATAAGAAAAGGACAACCTTAAACTGGTCAAACTACAAGTTTGACTCCCAACGAAAGCGGGCCTATGACCTTCTTGATTTGAGCTGGTCTATGGGCAATTTAGGTTGGGTTATCTCTTTGTGATTCTTTACCAATTAGAGTCACAAGGTGGAGTTTATCTCGTGCACAACCTCGGGTAGCGGCTACAGTTTGCTCGTCACTCACCCTCGGGTAGTGGCTGTAGTTTCCTCGTCACTCGAATAGAGAAGAGAAATGAAGAAGGCAGCTGTATGGAGGCTGCTTGATAACCATGTAAATGGGTTGAAAGTATGTGTTATTTTTTGTTTTCCAGATCAATGGCTAGAGGGAGACCTAGAGGGAGACCAAGAGGGAGACCAAGAGGAAAGGGACAACCTTCTGGGAGGAGGGAACTACAGATTGATGCATTAGATTCTTGCACTATGGAAGAAGTTGAGTACACTTCATCATCTGATTCCATATCTTTTCAAAACGGACCACAGCACAGAAGGCATGGTGAACCTAGGGATGTGCTGCAGGATGAGATTGGAAGCGGTTCTAATCCCCTAACTCCAAGGAGTGATGCCCGTGAGTATTTAAAGAATCATTGCACTTCTAAGTTTATCTTTTGATCTTTGATTGAAAATTAATGCCAGAGTTGCCTTGAAATCATTCTTTCTGTCTCTGGCTTGTTTTGTTTACATGGCAAAGTGTAATTTACTCCATGTTCTTCATTTGACATTTGGAAACATGAAACTTGATTTGTTCAATTTTGATGGTTTGTTGCTGGTAATTATGTGAATGTGAATGAAATACTAATATTATAATAATGGTGTTTCTAAGCTTCTGGTGAACGAAAACGGGGTCGTGGTCCATCCAGATGTATGACATTGGAGAATAAAGTGAAACAGGTTATTAATTATTTACACTTTTGCAATCAAGCTTCTTTTTTATTTTTTTTCTTCTGCGTAAATTTTGTAAAATATTGTTTCCTTAATTTTAAAGCATGTTTTGTAGTGGGGGAAGATAAGGATTGTATTTTCCCCTGGTGAAAAAATTCCAATGGAAAACGATGGTGACTTTAGTAGAGGAGTTGGTTTTCTGGTGAAGACAGGAGCTCGTCTTACTGGTGTACGCAAATGGAAAGACATTCCTGATGTAGAGAAAGAACTCCTCTTTTCTAGACTAGATGTGAGTAGAAAAGCTATCTTACAAAAGCGATTTCCTTTGACAAGAAAATACTCACGTTGCCTTTCTTTATTCTTGTTGTTTCTTTAAGGAATATTTCTTTATTGAGGATCAAGGTGACCCACATGTCAAAGCTTGTATTAATGACACTTTCCAGACACAATATAGGCGTTGGAGAAGCAGACTGCACACCATCTACAAAGACATGGTGGCGTCTGGTCAAAATCCGAGGGAGAGAAGTCCTCGGATAGAAGTTCCTTTAAATGAGTGGCTTGGGGTGTGCGATTTAATTGAAGACGAGGAGTTTCAGGTAAAGCTTCTTTTCAATAGGAGATATAGAATTTACTTTAATTTCTTTTACTTATCCCCTCAAGATGAATGCAGAAACTCTCCAAGATAAACTCTGCAAATCGGTCATGTGTACCTTTCAGCAGCAATGCAGGATCAAGACCCCTTTCTCGTCAAAGGAAGACGGTAATGGCCTAGTAAATCAAAAGTTAGAGTCAATTAGGGAAGAATGACCTATTGTAGTGACCGGAGCTAAGCAATGCAGCAAAATTTTCTCCCATGCTTGTTCACCCTTTTCAAACTTCAATGTTTCACTTAATGCTAGCAGTTGTAATAGAAAGAACTAAAAATTATTTTGTTTTTGATAAACTTCAAAGTTCAGATCTACGGTTCTCTCTTTTCCTGTACAAAATCTCTGCATGTTGACTGCAGTTGTCTTGGAAATAAATATCTATAAACTAACATGCATTTTTTATGGTATTAGCCAATTCCGAAGAAGATTGAGATGCAGGCAGGTAAACATAAGGATAAGGGAGGAGAATTTGTGAATGAAGAAGCTCAATTAACACATGTATTTATCTACACCTTTTTTCGGTCATTCTCTCTCAATATTGGTATACATATTGTACTAATATTGTTTTACTGGTAGGATCGAATGGTCCAAATGGAGGAACAATACGAGGAAGGATGCATAAACCCCAACTCCCAAGATAAAATTATAGAAAATGTACTTGGGCAGATCGGTGGTTATGCGACTGAAATGGGACATGGAGTAATGCCACCCCAAGAAGATGCCACTTCAGAGTCAAACTCGCAACTCAGGAGCATGAAGGACCTGTTGGCCAAAACTGAGTTTGAGCTTCGATCTACCAAGAATGAGCTCCGAAGTGTCAAGGAAGAGATCCAAACTACCAAGGATGAACTCCAAACAACCAAGGGAGAGCTCCAAACGACCAAGGATGAACTCCAAAGAACAAAAGATGAGGTTGTGAGCGTAAAAGATGAGTTGCATTTTAGTAAGGAACAAATCGGTAACCTTACCGTGAATGTTCAAGAAATTCGACACTGGTTCATGAATATGCAATCTATTTGGCCTCGACTACGTCATTGGTAAGGCTGCATAGAGTATAAAGATATCTTTTTTATTTATTTTCATTTTTGTTATACGATGCAATGTTGGAATTTGAAGGCTTCCTTAATGTTCTCTTTTGCACCCACTCTTCCCATTTTATTTCTGTTTTTCCTCGCAGATTGTGAGGGGTTTGAGCTTGAATGTTGAGTGCAGAATCAAAGATTCTAAGAGAGCTGGATAATGAAGGGATGATGGATTCGTTTCTATTTCATGTAACATGATTTTTCATCTCATTTCTTTCTTTTATTATTTTGAACAATGAGCTCATTACCCGTTTAGTTTGGAGGAAAAAAGATATTTTCTTGACAATTCTTTGAATGGTTATACTCTCCCATTGAATGTTGTTGTGTGAGTATATGTTTATGGTTATAGGAATTTCAATTCATTTGTACACCAGTCCAATTTGAGCAAAATATGTGCACTATTCGAGGGTATACCACTCAGGTGTAATAGTCACAAATTTTATAAGTAGAGGTAAATCGATCCAAAGAGCATGTGTAATAGATTAATAGGTCAATATTAAAGTTTAAATGAGATTATATTTGGAATAAATAAGAGTATATATAGTAAAACTCTCACCGCTGGCTAATTAGTTGAAAATAAAGTTGACTAGTTGAAAATAATACTGTAAAATATTAGTTGAAAATAGTGAAAAGACATTTTCTACCAAATTAAACATTATCAGAATGCATATTTTTATTTAACACTATTTTCTTTAAATACCCAATTACAAGAAAATCTGAAAAATGATTTTTATTTTCCAGATTTTCAGACAAACCCTTAATTTTCTACCCTTAAGTCAAAGCTTGCAACTCATGTGGGAATAATTTTCCCACCTATACTTTCCCATTGAATGGCGTTGTGTGAGTATATGTTGAGTAGAATGTGCACTATCCGTGCAATTTCCCTATAATAGTCTGTAAATTAAATAGGAAAAATAAATGGACTCTAAGAACATGTATAATAACTCGTAAGTCATATAGAAGAGATAAATCAACATTAACTGACCTTACACAACAAACTAGATCGAAAGAGTATTAACAAGAATCAAACTCTTAATTTTCATGTATGAGAATCATGTTTTAACCATTTGGCTACCATTTTAGAAAAGATCAAAAAATAACTTTCTCTATGTATTTTTTAAATGATGAAGAAAACCCGCTGCTGGTACTTGAGAGTGCACATTTACACTATGTTTTGAATTGATGAAAAGTGTAAATATGTTTGAATTATGATGCCTTTGCAAGTTTGCAGTTGTCATTAGTTTAACAATTTTTTTGAGCTAATTGAAATTTTAAGAAAAACAGAGGCCATTGTGAAATATCTGAAAAGATCATAAACCAAAAGGGTTCATCTGAGTTTCCTCTGTAGCTCTTTCCTAATTCCTATCAGCCAAAATCTACGAGCATTGAATCTTTACTCCGCCGTTAGCCATGGAGTCGAACGGAATTGAAGCCTCGCAAATTCACCAAGAAATTGAGTCACTAAAGGCGGACAAGCTTAGAATCGAGCAACGAATTTCAGCACTTGAAGCTCAACTTCGTCGACTCGACACAAGTGATGAAACTAACCAAAGCGATGTTGTTCGCGATGCGCCGATATTCTCTCCGCCTATATCTAACGGAAAGTTAAGCTCCGGTCATGGCCTATCTCCTGACAATATTTACAGATACAGTCGCCACTTGTTGCTTCCTTCATTCGGCGTCCGAGGTTTGCTCTTCATTCCATTTTGACACAAATGTCATGGATTGAATGGTATCTGTAATACAAATGCTGTTACTTTCCATTTTAGGTCAGGCAAATCTGTTGAAATCTTCAATTTTGGTTATTGGAGCTGGAGGCTTAGGATCACCTGCTCTTCTCTATCTTGCTGCTTGTGGTGTTGGTAAGATGTAGTGGCATATATGTCATTCTGTATGTGTGTATGTATTTATTTCTTGGTCAGTGTTTTTGAAGATTTTCATTGCATTTCATAATGTTACAGGCCGGATAGGCATTGTTGATCATGATGTTGTTGAGCTTAATAATTTACAAAGACAGGTACTTTCTTCAACTGTTCTTTTGAGTAAGAATAACTAGTACTGTGTTTGTTGGTCGTAGTTCTTAACTAATACGAAATACTCTGTAACAAGTTCAACTTCTAGTGTACTTGGTGTGAGCTCCTAATGAATTGGATTTTTATGGTAAAATGCTATTATTTTTATTCATGCTTTTTGTTAAAATATCTCCGAAATGGTGCTCATGTTGTGTCATAGATAATCCATACTGAAGCAAATGTTGGCCGCTCAAAGGTGGAGTCAGCTGCTGCTGCTTGTCGTGCGTAAGTTCCTTGCTCTTTGGAAATTTTATCATTGCTGCTAAACAAGCTTACACTCAATGTTTTAAGAACAACAACCGCATTAGTCACCATCTCAATATTTATGTTTGATTTTGTAGGGTTAACTCATCCATTCAGATTGCTGAGCACAAAGAAGCGTTCCGCACATCCAATGCTTTGAAGATTACAAGCCAGTATCCTTTTTTGAATATATTGTGCTTAATGGCTTCCATGCTGTGGTTGTCAGTAGTGTCCTATATGCTATAATATTATTGTTTTATATTTGTCTGTTGAGCTGAAAGTTATCTGTTTCCATGACTCAAATCCATCCTAGATATGATATTGTCATAGATGCAACGGACAATGTTCCCAGTCGCTATATGATCAATGATTGCTGTGTTGTGTTGGGAAAGGTTAAATGTTTTTCTGTGGCCTTGTTTTGGAGTTAAATATTTCATGTTGATATGTCTTGGTTTGAATTTTATGCAGAATAGATGCAAAAGGTTCTGTTATAAACTTATACTCTGCTTTGTTTATTAAAAAAATGGATAGCTGGTGTAGTTTTGTACTGATCATTTGCTTTTCTTATTGCTCTAGCCTCTTATATCTGGAGCTGCAGTCGGACTAGAAGGGCAGGTACCATTTACAGTAGTTTAGCTCTGTTTTTACCCTTTTATCAACTTTCTGGTAGTATGACATGTGAGCTCTTTTCCATCTTTCACATATTCTCTAATTATATCCTTCCCATGTTTGTAGTTGACAGTCTACAATTACAAAGGAGGTCCATGTTATAGGTGCCTGTTTCCAACCCCACCCCCCTCAACTGCATGCCAGAGATGTGCAGACAGTGGTGTATTAGGTGTAGGTATGTTGCTGTGGAATTTCTCTGATTTATTGGATTACATGATTATTCAAGAGGATAACCTTCCTGAAATTCATCATAACTTATTTATTTATTTAGCCTTGTCCAACATTTTGCTACAAACCAAATATGTAGCATCTAAATGTATTGTGGGTATACTATAGTTACAGGTGAAGCAATGAAAGTTTTTTCAAATGATTTTGGCTCATCTTGTTTTCTTATTTTTATATAAGGCCAGTATGTGGAATTAGGCAAGTTATATTGTGGACCATGGCCCACATTGGAAGGTGGACCATTGATAAATGTTCATTTTTTGTATACCAAATATTCCTTCTTTAATATATTGAATATTCATTTTTAGGTAATATACAAAAAATGAACCTTTAAAAAAATAAACTTTCAATATATTAAAAAATGAATCTATATGTCAAGGTCCACCTTGCAGTATGGACCATGCTTTACGGTATAATGATTGGTGGAATTAGCATGGTGTTGGCAAAGTAAAAATGTATTTTTAAGACTATGAACTCTTGTTGATAAAAAATTGTATAGTTTATGAAGTTGAAAATTCAATTCACTTTTTAAATTAGGCTCTCATTTCTCAGTTCACTTTCACATTTAATTCACAGTTCCTGGAGTCATTGGATGCCTTCAAGCCCTAGAGGCTATAAAAGTTGCAAGTGACATTGGCGAACCACTCTCTGAACGCATGCTTCTCTTTGATGCCTTGTCAGGACGGATTCGTATGGTATGTTTGTGATTTGCAGTTCATCACATTATTGAGTTATATATTGGAAGAAATATGTACGGCCGTACGGGGTATTATCAAGCTGGGGCCTTTCTACATTGTCTAATTCTTATGCTCTCCTTGTTACTTAGGTCAAGATTCGAGGAAGGTCATTGCAATGTAAAGTTTGTGGTGAAAGTGACGCACTGACAAAACAACAATTTGAAGATTTTGACTATGAAAATTTTACTCAATCGGCACTTTCTACGGTGTGTTACATTTCCACTCTTCCATTTTATTTTCCAATTGAACCACATACTTCTTGAAAAATAACTTTTTAAAGAATATACCTGTGGAACAAATTTTAAATTGGATAACATAGATGTTCAAAAGTTCATGCAGAAAGGGGATATGACTGTTGTACTCTTAAAATTCCAGTTATTTGTCTGCAAATAAGGTTGTCTAGATAACCAGCTTGGTTGGCGTGAGTGGCTGTGCACTCTTGTCCCTTAAGAGAGGTCGGGAGTTCGAACCCCCTCTCGTATGAAAAACCAATATGGCCAGCACTTTGCCCCTTAATTGGGCCGGCCCGGTGCGAACGGGGATTAGTCTGAGTATGATACGGGCTTAAAGGTGTCTTCTACTGTTAGGGGCCTGTTTAGGACACCTCGTGGTCTGACAAAAAAAAAAGGTTGTCTAGATATTTATCCGGAGGGTCAGGTCTCACATTCTAGTTTAGTTTGTGGGTATGTTAGCGCCTTGTTTGATTGTCCCCACATTTCATCTACGCATTAACCGGATATTGCCTTTATTTCTGGGCTGAATTATCACACAGGGTCCGTTGAAGTTAAATCTGCTTCCACCGGATGCTAGGATCAGCAGCAAGGAGTACAAGGAGAGAGTTTTGAAAGGTGAAGCTCATGTATTAGTAGATGTACGGCCAGCTCATCATTACAAGATTGTTGCACTTCCAAACTCCATAAACATCCCACTCCCGACTTTGGAGGACCGATTGGCTGACCTATCTGAAACCTTACGAAATGATGATAAGGGAGAGAGCAGTAGAAGCTCAGGCGCTTCTCTGTATGTCATTTGCAGAAGGGGCAATGACTCACAAAGGGCTGTTGATTACCTCCGTAAAGCAGGTTTCTCTTCGGCTAAGGATATAATAGGGGGCCTCCAGTCATGGGCCAGTGAGGTGGATCCCGAGTTCCCTACATACTGATACAATCAAACATATACTCATTGTATTGCTGTCGATTTAGTTTCAGTTATAGTGTATTACAATCTACATTTTACTGAATTCAGATATGTGGAAAAGGTGCTGATTGGCAGCTGAGTTTGTTTTGTACAATGAATGTGTGAACATCAAGATTGTTGTTGTAATCTTGATTCATATCTATATTCATTCCAGTTGATGTGACAAGAATATACATTTTTGAGTACAAGTGTGTAACTACTATGATCCAATTTCTATTGATGAAAATCATTAGTGAAATTATCTGTTTCATAGTTGTAATAACAAACTCATAGGATTTACCCTGGAACAAACTCATTGGATCACTTCACTTACCACAAAATAAAAAATTATAATACAATAATTAAATTAAATTTATCAAAGATAAAAAAAGTTAAATATATTCCAGAACTTTATTTAAAAAGTTAATTAGTTTATTAAAATTTTAAATGTTAGAATTAAACCCTTAAACATGTTATTCTTGAACATTGACCATTGTCGGTCTTCAAAAATTTGTAAGACCTATAATCACAGATTACTCAACTAATATATTTAAACGTTTAATTACAATTTTTAAAAGTTAATGATCTAATTAACTTTTTGAATAGAATTCAAGACATATTTCACCTTTTTTCATTTATCAAATACTCAAATACGGAGTATCAAATAGCTATTTCAATTTCATAACTAGCTTTATCAAATTATAAAATCAATTAATTCAGTTTGAAACCAATTGAATTAATCAAAATCAACATCCCAATTCTTAAATAAAAATGTGGTTACTGTTTTCGGTAATGAAATGAATACTGTGAAGTGATATATACTTTCCTGTGTATCAAAAAATCTTACTTAAAAAATGTTTATTATCTAATCCAAATGGGGGTTAAAAGTTAAAACCATCAATATATTCCTCAGATTTTTAAGTTTTAATTGCAATTCGTAGTTCTATAGGAAAGAAATCAAGGAACAGAGAAATCCTGTGTCATTATTCTATCTGGTTGAGCAAATAGTTGTCTTCCGAACAACCACTCCGGGTGGGGCCCGCAGCCGACGCCTCCAAAATCTCACCTAATAAGCCAGCAATCCATCTTCCCCGTAAACCCTCCGGTGGACGACAGCGGCGGCGAGGCGGCCGTTTCCGATTCTCAAAGTTCGCCCCCAAAACAACCCCCAATTGAAGCAAAGAACATAACTTTAACATTTTCATTTTCTTCCTAATTCAAGGAATTCGTAGTTATAATCCCTCCTACCCTAATTCTGTCCTCTTTTAATCGACAAGCGATGGACGAGGTGATGACGGTGGGGGATGCATCGGCCAGCGCTCGATCCTACTCCTTGGAGCCATCCGTCGTGCCTTCCAACCTCCCTCTTCTCACCGCTTTCCTCGCCTGCGCTATCGCTCAATTTCTCAAGCTTTTCACCACTTGGTAAACCCTTGGACCTCTTTTTGTTCTTCGGAAAATTTCGTTCTTTGCTTTGTTGTATTCAATTTTACATCCCGCTGGGTTATGTTTTCTGTTAATAGCCAGCCGATTCAATTTTGAGTCTTCTGCTGTGAGTTACTGTGCATTATCTCGCATTGTCAATTACTGCTTAGTAGTTACAAATAAGCCCGATCCTTAAACGAGGGAACTTGCTTAATGTTGCTGATCAAAATTGGAATGCTTGAGGTTGAAAATGGGATTTTATTTTAATTTTTTGCCTGATCTTTGAATATGCCCTGTTTGATTTTGCAGGTTTAAGGAGAAGAGATGGGATTCAAGAAGGATGCTAAGCTCCGGTGGAATGCCGTCCTCGCATGCCGCCACAGTTACTGCCCTTGCCATGGCAATTGGACTGCAAGATGGAGCTGGGGGATCATCTTTTGCTATTGCACTGGTTTTGGCTTGTGTTGTATGTACTTTCTAAACCAGGTTTTCTCTGTTCTTTCCATAGTTCTGTCTGTCTTGCCATTTTTGTCTGGAGACTTTGAACAAGAAATGTACAACCCTGGATCACTTGATATGTGGTATGGAGCAGGGTGAAATCTCTGAGATGTCCTTTTCATCTCTTATAGTTTTTATATCGTTAGCTTTTACGTCCCAAGTGGCCAAGCCTGCTTTCAGCTTTAGCTCCAGTTAATTTCATGTGCAGAATGTTTTAAAGAAGGGCATGATGTAGGTAATATAATGTCCATTAAAACCAAGCATGTTGGTTTCTCGGATGTAAAGTTGCTAAACACTCACCAGTTAATATTTTATGCATTGTTTTCTGCTTTATTATAGTGTTTAACGCTGGTCTGTATCAGTTGTGGTTATGATCTGTATCGCTTTTCACTGTTACTTCATGTATGCTGCATACGACAAATTTTGACTCAAGACATTTGGCTAATAATTTTCTCTTGTTATAGGTAATGTATGATGCTACTGGGGTTAGGCAACATGCTGGTCGACAAGCTGAAGTAATTTCTCAAGCTTTTTTTCTTTTTTTTTTTTTTTGGATGACGAGCAAAACCCCACAACCCTTTCGGGTGTAGGTAAACCCTGCCTTATGACCCTAGCCGGCAAAGGACCACAAGGAGTAAACCAACCTAGGTTATCCATAACTGACCGGCTCAAACCAAGGGGGCAAGGATTCGAACTCGTGACCTTGTGGTTACAAGTGTGGATGTCTTGCCATCTTGGTTGGGGTTACCCCCGCTTTTTTCTCTTTTGATTTGTACATTACTTGATAGTTGATACTATTTTGTTCTTTTGATGATTAGTATTTATTGTGTTTATTCATACTACTATTATATTATTTAGTAATTAACTATGTAGACGAGATTTGTTAATGTTGTTTTTACTTAGATGGTCTTGCAATCATAGCACCTCTCTGTTGAGCAGATTCTTTTGAAATCTCTACTCTGCAAAATCTTTTATTTTCCTTCTTTTTTTGGGTCTAAATTCTGAGCAGAATGAGCTTTGATATTTTATGCAGTTGTTAAATCAAATTGTTTGTGAATTGCCTCCTGAACATCCGGTTGCTAGTGTTAGACCTTTACGGGATTCTCTTGGCCACACGCCTCTTCAGGTACAATATAATGCTCTTTATACGATATATACATATCCTTGTATCCTGAAATGAATATAAATTTAATACTATTGGTTAGTGTCTTCCTTCCTCGGTGGAATAAGAAGTGCGTCAAATTTATTTATGCTTGGCGTCAGTATCATCCTACAAGTTTCTGCCTGTCTTCAATTCTTTCAACTTTAAACGTTTAATATGAAAACCCTCTCAATAGTCTCCTTATCGCTTACGTCCCCCCTCTAAAATGATTGAACTAACATTTTCTTAATTGATTCATCTCATCTCGTATTTCTTACAATTGATCCCCTTAAGACACGAGATGAAATGCTATTCAAATTTCATTCGTGCAAACTTGATTATCATCTCCCGTTGACGTTTGTTCAGGTTCTTGCTGGTGCATTTCTTGGATGTCTAGTTGCATACGTAATGAGAAGATCGAGTTAGGGGCAAGCCATCCGGGATGCTCTCCAGCGCGGTATCACATCCTTAGATGTAAGTAGGCCCCCAAGCAATTTAGCCTTCGGACAGAATTTGGGGTGCGGGGGGGGGGGGGGGGGTGTGACTCCTAATATACCAAAATGAATTTAAACTTGAAAATTATATAATTACTAGATGCTTCCTTGTTATGTACTTTATGCAGCAGTGTAATGAACTACCAAGTAATGTTACTTTGCATTTATTCAGAGTTTTGTCACAAAAATTTGATGCAGTATAGCTACGAATACTAGTAACTCACATGGTTGTAGTTGCACTCCAATTATTATAAACTCCATAGTTTTTCAAACAAAGTGGAGGCGGCAAATTATACTGCGGACCATAGATAAATATTCATTTTTAATATATTCAAGATTCATTTTTGTGTATTGAAGTTCATTATTTGGTAGTATATCACTAGGGAAGGAAATAAAAGTGCATTAGAGGATAGTTGAAAGTGTATAATATAATAGTTAAAAATGCACTAGATAATAGTTTAAATTACATTATAGATTAAGTAAAAGTGTATTACGTCAAGCACATTGTGCTCAGATGGCACCCGGGGAGGTCAAGAGTTTGAGTCTTAATGGAGGCGTTATTGGCTCTTTGTAATAGAGTCAGTTTTAGCATTAAAAAAAAAGAGAGATAAAAGTACACTATAGGAATATTAAAAGTGCAATATCCTAAGAATGATAGAAAGTGTATATTCCGAGTGATATAAATGATTGACTAAAATGTGGTTTCGCAATAAACTATAAGAGTAATAATAATTTTTAAATCCAATTTAAATCAGACACTAATATTTTTTTTTATTGAGTATATTTTAAAGATAATACCAACATATTAATTATTATTTTTTTAAAAAATTATTTCCATTAAATATATTAAAACAAAACGCATTCTCAAAGTAGAGCAAATTAATTAGTATTGATTTTTTCACAATTTTTAAAGAGTGATGATAGAAATAGGGAGGTAAAAAAGAAAAAAATGAGAAATAGTGTTGTCATAATTTTTTTTTTAAAAAAACGAAAATGCTATGGTTAACGCACCCAGCAGAGGTAAAACGAAAATGTTGGCGGTTAGTAACAGTGTTAATATGGTAATTTCCGTTCTCTTTATTTTTTTATTTTTAATTTATTTTCCCTTCTTTCTAACAAGCACTAGAAATCTAAAACCATAGAAAACCCATTGACAAATTGGAAGCAAAGGCACTAGAAGCTTGTTAAGCATGGCGGCAACGACGGATTCGAGACGAAGAAACAATTCCCGAATATTGGAGTGTTATTCGGCTCAATGTGGATGGCTTCGCAAGGGACGACACTATTTATGTGTGAGGAACTTCTCGCGTACAAAGATTCAAGCTCTGACATATGAAGTAGTGAATATGTATGATGAACTTCTCGCATACAAAGATTCAAGCTCCGACATATGAAGTAGTGAATATGTGTGAGGAACTTCTCGTGTACAAAGATTCAAGCTACTGTGGTTCTTGAGGTCCTTAAGAACTTTAGTTGATCCTGAGGTCTCCACTTTTACCGTCTATACATTATAAGAAAAATGTACATAGACAACACTAGAAAAACAATAATTTTTAATAAAGTGTTATCTTTTGTATAAAAACAATAGTTTAGTACAAAATCGTTGTCTTTGACGCAACACTTTTGTCAAAAACAATGGTTTTTACTTAACCGTTGTTATAAGTGTATTGTCTTTGTGCATTTTGAAAATAGACAACACCACAACGACAACGAATTTTTTTTATGTACATTTTTTAAAGACAAACGGTTTTATTTAACCGTTATCTTTAATATGTTGTTTTTAAGTGTACTTGAATAAACAATACTACAAAGTTAAAACCGTTGTCTTTGCGCATTATTATTTTTTTTTAAAAAGATAACGATTTTATTTAATCGTTGTCAGGAGTAAGCTTAGTTGCAAAGATAATGCAAGTTGCTAGGGCAAAGGATAAAAATCCTGTTGAGTCAGATATGGTATTTTATGGAGTTATTGATGAAATATGGGAGAGCTTGATTACCATACCTGAGTTCTTGTGTTCAAATGCAATTGGGTTGAGAATAACAATAGTATTAAAGTAGATGATCTTGGTTTCGCATTAGTAAACCTCAATAGGATTGGATTCAAATATGATTCTTTTATCTTGGGGAGTCAAGCCAGGCAAGTATTTTATATTCAGAACCCTCAAGATCTTATATGGTCTGTCGTACTTGCAACTCCTAATCGAGATTACTTTGAATATCAAGATAGGAATGAGATGGATGAAACAATAATCCATCATCAATGCTTTACGAAAGGGATGCTATCTATGAATGTTGACGATAAAGATGAGAGTGAATCGACATGCATTCAAAAAGATTGTGATGGGACTTGGGTTGAGAATAAGAATTTCTAGCTAGTTAGTGTGTAATTACTTTTCAAACTTTATATTTTAAATTTGACTATGTATGTGTTCTATACTTTGTTACTTTTCTATGACTTGTAATAATTTTGTTTTTAATTCTCATAATATTTTTTCTTTGTAGTTGACCTTCATTGTTCCGCCACAATTCAAGAAATCTTGCTTGAGCTCAGCAAATGACAAATGACGGCAATATAAAACACATCTCACAAATAACTTTATTTGGAAGAGACTAAATGATGAAGAAAACTTGCATAAATCACCCGTGAGATTTGGTATTATGGGGATGAATCGAGTCAATTTGTGATTAACCCACATGTCCGAAGACTTCAAAGGTAAACACAAAACTAGAAGTGTTTATGTATTAAATTTGTATTTTATTTATGAAGCCTAATGCTAATTATTATCATTGCCTCAATAATTTCAGATTATAACATTATTTATTAGTCTGGTTATGGTTATGTTAGATACTTAGATTTGTGCTTACTGTTCTATTGAGTTCATCCATATTTTACTTTTTGTTCACTCAGGCATAACTCAACTAGCCTTTTATGTTTTATTTAGTGTAGTCCTGAACTATAACTTGACTAATTTACCATTTTAGTGTAGTCCTGAAGTGTTTTATTTACTTTCTGTTCACTCCGTCGCTTTGCTTTGTTCCAAATAGTCTTTCATTAAATTTTGATCATGCTTGTCTTAGAAACTAAGCGAGCAACAAAACGAAGAAAGCAAAACCTCTATCCACATAGGATTGCTCGTAAAGGATGTGTGCGTCTTGCTAGTGAATTTGTAAGTAATTATTATGACATCAACTCACTTTTACTATTATTATATAAATTCATTTTCACCATAAGTTTGAGATAAAATTGATAAATCTTCTTGCATGTAATCAATAGAATTGTGTGATGATGAAGAAGTAAATAGAGCTATACTTTCGAAGAAGGGATGAACTAGTAAGCAAGGAGAAGTACAAGGAGATTTGTTGAAGACAACATTTTCAAAGATTGTAAGTAAAACTTTTATTTGTTTATCTTCTTTATGTATTTGGAAAGATTGTGGTTATCATGGTCATTTGTGATGCATTACAGAATGAATATATTAAGCACAAGAAAGAGGGTTTGTTGAAACTTAAAAGACCAAAAGAGGACATCCTTACAGAGGCTCTTGAATCTAAGGAGCATGGAGGTCGGGTGAGGGCTATAGGAGGGCATGTCAATCCCTCAACATATTTTAGAATTGGTAGATGGATGATGCCTACTGATGAGAAAAATGTACTTTTAAGGCGACAATCAAAAGTTGAAGATAGAATAGCAAATGAGTTAATACCCAAAATTATCATCGACTATAGTGATTTTTCTCAAATTTGTCCTAAATAGCTTTAGTGTCATAAAATAGTCTCAAACTTTTGTGTTATTGCTCAATATTGTCATCCGTTAGGTAATATGTCAAAGGGGTGTTAAATACAGGGATAAATATATAATTCACATTTTTAACGGATACACTAAAAAATCACCGTTATCTGTCTCTCTGTTCACTGCTTGTATCTCCTTAACAGCTTCACCGCTTGTATCTCAAAAACAACTCTGCTGAGTTTCATATCCTTCACCGATCTAAAGAGTTCTCAAAGTTTTAGTTCATTGAACTGTTTGATTCTCTGTACTATTCTATATAGTTATATATACTGTGTTTATATGCAAAGGATGAAGGATAAAGGTGGAAGGCGGCGTCTGTGTTTTCTCAAGTACTACTTCATTTGCTGTATTAGTTCCCGTTGCCTTATGATCATTGATGAGTTGAAGTTGAATGTATTGTTAATTTACGTTGCCGTTAACTTGAGTTGGCAAATTTTGCAAATATTGTGACGGCGGTTGGGGTCCGGAGCAGTCGCCATGGAGGAAAGTTTTCAAGGAGGGCAGCAAGGTCACATTCAAACAGCTAACTAAGTTACGGGATGAAGATTATGAACTATATATAACTATATAGAAACCATGCATCTATTAGTGTATCCGTTAAAAATGTAAAATTACATATTTATTCCTGAACTTAACACCCGATTACTTAACGGACAATAATATTGGACAATAACACAAAAGTCTGGGACTATTTTATGACACTAAAGTTGTTTAAGACAAAATTAAGAAAAACCACTATAGTCGAGGACAATTTTAGGTATTAACTCAATAGTAAAGTTAGAGAATTTGGTACTTCAAAATGTTGGCGATATAATTGAGATTGAAGAAAAAGGTAGTTGTACGGCAACGGATGCAAGCAAAGCGTGCCAACAAGAACGAAGAAGAAATTGAATAGCTTAAACAAAAATTGGATTTCAATGATGATGATGATGAGCTGAAGTTTACTGAGAAAGAAGATGTCTTGAAGGTAAATATTACAATTATTGTTGACATATAGTATATAGTATTATAAACTTAGTATATTTTCTTATATGAATGTATTTTTTTAGGGGAAAACGGTTACACTGACTATAGAAGAGGAGACTGAGGATATTGTTACATATGGTACCATCATATCAATCAATGTTACCACGTTGCCCATTGATTGTATGTGTGTTGCCATCGGTCAAGCAGTTGAAAAGGATGCCCCTTTGCCATATCCATTGTCAAGTACATGTCAAATGTTGGTGATGCCGTGGGATCTCATTTGAAGTGGCCTACAAAATTTATAAGAGTGTAACTAGAGGTAATTACATATATAATATATAATAAACATACTTTTCTTATCTTATGTATATTTATTTATTTAGCTAATGTGTATATTTTGCAATTATATATTACAAACATAAGAAGAAATCTAGCAAGGAAGACGGAAAGCTTGAGTTGAAC